AAGAATAAGAATAAAAATGATAAATGAAAAAATGTGAATTAATCAGAAAAAATTGAAGCAATCTTGAAAAATAATTGAATATTTAATTTCAGAATAATGCAGATATTTATATTTTTCTTGCTGATAGTTCTTGAGATGGCAAACAGTGCGGAATATTATACAAAAGGGAAACATATATAATAATTTTACAATAATAATAATGATAATAATCATAGAAAGAATTAAATAATATTTTTAGAATAATTAAATAATAGTTTTATACTAATAATCAAATGATAATTTGTAATAATAATCAAATAATAATTTATAATAATAATAAAATAATAGTTTATAATAATAATCTTTAGATCGTTTTTAAACAAATCCCAACTCTACTCTCTAGCACTAGAATTATATCATTTTCTACTCAATATATTTCGCCAAAAACTTTGGCATCGTCAGGAGTTCGTCCTTACTCTTTAGAAGAGTATTGAATGAAAAATAATCAAATAATAATTTATAATAATAATCAAATAACAATTAAACAATATAAAAATTACAATTTAATACTAATACTTTTCGTCTGGGTTTCCCATATTATGATTGACATGGGGTCGGCCAAAAAACAGGTGCCATACAAGACCTTTTGCTGTTCCACTATTCAGAATCAGCAAGAGGCGGTTTTTAGAAATAAAGTCTCTTGGACCCTGTCTTGTAGAAAATATAGAGGCCTCTAGCAAATCCAGCAATCCCCATATTTGTTAACCTAGATATATTAAACATGAGCTACGTGATATGATTAAAACATACATTGTGATTAGATTAACTACATTATATCTATCCTCGTTAATCCTTTAAATACTTACATTCAACTTAAACTACGCTGTGTGGAGATAGCTTAACTAAGTTATATATATATCCTCGCAAATCTTATAAATATGTACATTAAACTTTAACTGTGCGGTAAATACGTAACATGATTGTCCTAATCATGTTATTAAGATAAAACATGTAGGAATTGCAATTAAGTCTATTAACTTTAAGTTGTAACACATAAACCTCAAATACATAAGTTAATATAGAGACTCCGTACTGATTACTGCGAGAGAGTTATTGTGTCCTTGTTCTAAAGGAATAAGTTGAAGATCGTGCTAACGAGATCGTGCCCAGTGGTAGTGGCATTGATATTTCACAGGATTGTAGCTGTGTGTTAACATTGAAAATCAAAAGAACCAGAGTTGTATCTGGATAGCTACTTTTTCATGAAACCGTTATGGAGTAGGGAATTTACTACAGTCTAATGTTTTTTATTTTCTAAAAATGTGGATTTTCGAACAATGCTTTAAACTAACATAAGGTTTACAGAACTTGTGCAGTTTCTTAAGATTTACTTTGTTTGATGGTGAAATATATCCTCTTGAGCCGATTTCAAAAGGGTGAACAGACGGTCAGACCTACATCCCAAGCTTTCATCTTAATATATAATAATTCTATAATAATAATAAAATGATAATTCTAGATCACAACTTTTTATTTATAGATATAATAATAATTATGATAATATAAATAATAGTAAGCATATCATTAGAATACGAAGAAGAAGAATGTGTTATTAATAATAATGATAATGATAAATATAATGATAATAATAATGATGGCCGGGATAACAAATATAACCGATAACGAACATATTAATATCAGGTAACAAATATAGAACTGATAGTACTAAATAAAGGATACCCCCCTCCCCCGGTCCTTCATTCAATATAAAGCCTGTCTTCTTTAGATCTAAAGTTTTGTTTTCTAAAATTTGAAAAGCTGATTAAAGTTTTTATTTTAAATAAAATTAAATCTGTTCTCTTCATTCTGTGTTCAACTCAATCTGAGTGCATTTCAAGCTAAACATTTTAATCAAGCATTTTTTTTTTTTGATTCTACTAATCTTCAATGGCGCTTACTCTGTTTTTGCAATAAATTAAGCTCTTGAATGTTTCCCTACAATAGCAACCATTTTTTTCATCCATATTATTTAAAATAAAAATGTAAAACTTTGGTGGATTTCTCAAATTGTTAACAATTTAAAAATTCAACTGAAATCCTTTCCTAGGGTCATGTTTATGGCCGATTTTTATCTTATTCATTATTACGTTTAATTTTTTTTTCAATTCCAAAACTTCTTATTATTTCTAATGTCCTTAAGGGACCATGTTTTTACTTTGAAAATTGGTTATTTTAATTGCGCCACTTTTCTAAAAAGGGCTAATGCAACAACGGAAAAAACTGTTTGAAATAAACACGTTTAAGTCTAAATAAATGTAGTTATCTACCACATTATTGATTAGAAATAAAGGTTAAAAAGGTACTGATGTGAATCAGGCGTGTCCGTCTTGAAATGGAGGGTCACTTAAAGGGACCGTTCACATATTTGGGTGATTTCGTGGTAAAATAAATAGCTTATTAGCTATGGATTAGTATTGGTCTTGCTTTTCAAAGACAACTGTGGCTGGAGAAAAAGGCGATTTTTAGTTTAGAATTCCAGCGGAAAAGGACGGTCCCTTTGTCTATACACTATTTAATGTTTTCTGTCCATGTCATGGATTGAAAACAAATTTCGAATATAAAATTAAACTGTAGTCCATTTGCGCTTAAAATCCTGAACGAATAATCGGCTTTTTCATCGGCCACAGTGGTCTTTGAAACGTATGACTAATACCAATTAACAGCTAATAGGCTGTTTAGTTTACCATGAAATTACGCAAATAAGTGAACGGTCCCTTTAAACATTACAAAAGCAGTCCCTTCAAAGAAGAAAGAATTTCATTAATAAAACATCTAAGACAGAGAAAAAAGGAAAAAGGAACAATTAGACCATCTTTTCTTTTTCTTTTTGCAAATAATGTCAACATTTCATTATTTTCTACAGTATCAAGAGATTGAAACTTTTGAATGATTAAAGCATGTATCCGTCTCTTCAGATTATTACTAAAAATTGGACCAATCAAAATATACAAAAAAAAACTTATCTCTGACAATGAGAGATGGTTAAGTTTTTAACAGCTCAGGCATTTGTTTGCTTCAATTTTAAATTTAAATAAGTCTAAACTGAGGCCGAATTTAAAGAATTTGAGCCGAGGCTTAAATTTGAGACGCAGCTCAAATATGGTTGGTTCCACTTGAAATTGTATTTATTGTTTCAAGATTCAAACCGCGGCGCTCAATAGAAACTGTTTTTTCACGGATATCATTCAATTTGGACTCTGGTTTAACTTTTGGATTAGTGTATTGACTTCTGCAGGAACTATAAAATTTGAAATTACTTTCAGCAAAGACTTTTTCCCGCTTTTTAAGCAGATTCAAGGACTATAAGCATTATATTACGTGACCTTGCACTGTACACTTTAAGCCTTTGACTTATCACCTTGAGACAGAGAACTCAGTGTATGTATCTCTTAGATGCTATGTAAAAAGCCGTAAAATTAGAGTGTACACTGGCGTACTATGTAAATTCAACCCGGATGACGTCACATTTATTTATGCTAAATCTAGAGTAATCTATATCCAACACGGGTTTCAAAATTCGATTATGTATTTTTTTATTCTGTTACTTCTAGAAAATAAATATTAATATTCCTTAAATATAAAACATCTTATGAACAAACTGTTAAACAATTACAAGCTATTTTGTAGATAAAAATTCAAAAGTTTAACCTGACCATTGTGAATTAGGGAGGCCTCTCTTTAAATGGAGGGTCACTGGAAATTACACTTACAGGAGTGGTTTAAAAATTTCCCTTTGGTTTGACACTGATAGATAAACCCACTCTTTTCCAGGTTTGGTTAGGATAGTCACTGAGGTCGCTGTATAGTAAAGGGGAGGGGGGGGGGGGTGTCAGGTAGTACTTTTTACGATTTTACAAAATTATGATATTCTTGTTTCAAACAGAAAAAGGGGAGAAATTGCTAAAACAGGTGAGTTTTTTTTATAGATACTGTGGTTAGCCCGGAAGTATTGACAAATTATTTTCATTGATTGATTGATTTTTTGATCGATTGATTGATATTTCTAGGACAAATATGTATCTGCTCTTCTCTATCTTGAAAACTATGGATACCTAGACTCCCAGGAGTGAATCGTTAAGGATTATTATAATATTTCAATATATGTACAACATTTAAAAATTGATCTTAAAATGGTGGTGTATTTTTCGACCTACGCAAATCCGCTATATTCCACTTCTGACCTACGCAAAATCAGCTATACTACACATCCGACCTACTAGCACGTGGTTTTACAGCTGCCATATGGACTTATGGCCGCAGCTCCTGGCCCCCTAGCCTGTCCTAGCCGCGGCGCTCAGCCCCCTAGCCTGTTCTACTTGCAGAGCTCGGCCCAGAAATTGTCTTAACCTAACCTAACCCTAAAAAAATACAAAAATAAACTGCTGGCGTATAGGTCCGATATTGCAGTAGGTCAGAAAGTTAGTAGGTCGGAAGTTCAGTAGGGGGGATGTTGCATATAAACGATGTAACATTACCCTTAAAATATCAAATCAGTTATATAAAACTATTTTATTCAAAACTCTTCAAAATTTGAAATTTCATAGTGGGGTTTTGGGAAAACTGATGCATAACAAAAACCTTTTTTCAGCCAAATTATTTTTAAAATCCTTAATTATTCATTGATCAGGAAAAGGAAAATAATGCCACGCTAGTAGATATTTTCCACACCGGTGAGTTTTTTATTTTTAGATCATATATCAGGTTCATGAAAGGAGAGCTTAGCAAGGGTCTGTTAACGAACAGTAAGTTTTTTAAAATTAACTGAAAATTCCGTTAATTAACGGTAAAAACTGTTAATGATCAGATCGTTAACAATATTACTGTTCATGACAAAATAGAACAGAAAAGGATAAAATTCAAATGATTTGTTTCCTAAATATTGACCGTTAATGCAGTTAACATAACTGAGATCATTTACGAACAGTAACTTTCAGTCTTTAGCTAAGAACGAACGGAAATCTGAAACGTTGATAGTGGCGTTGATAGTTCAGGGGATTGTAGCCGTGTGGATAATGTCCGGTTGACATTGATCAATGAGTTACTAGTGTCTGTATTGTCAACGATAGCTAACAAGATTGCGCCCCCTGGCAGTGGCGTTGATAGTTCATGGGATTGCAGCCGTGTGTTGACAATGATAGTCAAAAGAATCTGAGTTGTACCTGGATAGATACGTTCCAAGAAACTGCAGTTATGGAGTAGGCATTTATTGCATTTATCTATCTATCCACCTATCTATCTATCTATCTTTCTTTAGGGCTGGCAAGACTACAATCTTTCTTTGAAATACCTCAGGTTAAAATTTCTATAAGATTATGATACGAAACTAAGAATTTTATTGTTATATTATAAATTTAGTTAAGATACGAACGATCTGCTTTATTACTAACTTTTAACGACAGGACAGGACATTTCATAGACAGGACATTTCATAGACGGGAGATTTCATACACAGGACATTTCATAGATAGGAAATTTCATAGACAGAAGATTTCATATACAGGACAATTTATAGACATGACATTACAAAGATAGGACATTTCATAGACAGGAAATTTCATAAATAGGACATTTCATATACATGTCATTTCATAGAAAGGACATTTCATATACATGAAATTTTATTAGACAAGACATTTCATAGACAGGCTTTTTTATGGACAGGACATTTCAAAGATAGGACTTTTATAGATAAGACATATCATAGATAGGACATACCATAAACAGAACATTTTATTAGACAAGACATTTCATAGACAGGACATTTTATAGACAAGACATTACAAAGATAGAACATTTCTTAGATAGGACCTTCATAGACAGGACATTTCATAGGCAAGACATTTCAGAAATAGAACATTTCATACACAGGACATTTCATAGACTGGAAATTTCACAGACAGGACATTTTATTTACATTACATTTCATTAGACAAGACATTTCATAGACAGAACCTTTCATAGACAGGACATTTCATAAAGGACATTTCATAGACTGGAAATTTCACAGACAGGACATTTTATTTACATTACATTTCATTAGACAAGACATTTCATAGACAGAACCTTTCATAGACAGGACATTTCATAAACAGGACATTTCGTGGACAGGACATTTCAAAGATAGGACATAACATAGATAGGACATATCATAGATAGGACATATCATAGACAGAACATTTTATTAGACAAGACATTACATAGACAGGACATTTCAAAGATAGGACATTTCATAGACAGGACATTTCATAAACAGGACATTTCATAGACAGGACATTTCATAGACAGGACATTTCAAAGACAGACGATTTCATAGACAGGACAATTTTATAGACAAGACATTACAAAGATAGAACATTTCTTAGAAAGGACCTTTCATAGACAGGACATTTCATAGGCAAGACATTTCAGCAATAGGACATTTCATACACAGGACATTTCATAGACAGGAAATTTCACAGACAGGACATTTTATTTACATTACATTTCATTAGACAAGACATTTCATAGACAGAACCTTTCATAGACAGGACATTTCATAAACAGGACATTTCGTGGACAGGACATTTCAAAGATACGACATATCATAGAGAGGACATTTCAAAGATAGGACATTTCATAGACAGGACATTTTATACACAGGACATTTCATGGACAGGACATTTCAAAGATAGGACATTTTTTAGATAGGACATATCAAAGGCAGAACATGGAAAGGACATTTCAAAGACATTTATAGATATTTCATTGGCAGGACAATTCATAGAAAGGACATTTCATATACATGATATTTCATTAGACAAGACATTTCATAGACAGAATATTTCATGGACAGGACATTTCAAAGATAGGACATTTATAGATAGGACATATCATAGACCGAACATTTTATTAGAAAAGACCTATCATAGACAGGAAATTTCATATACATGTTATTTCATTAGACAAGACATTTCATAGACAGATATTTCATGGACAGGACATTTCAAAGATAGGACATATCATAAACAGAAAATTTTATTGGACAAGACATTTCATAGCAGGACATTTCTTATACATATACCAATTCATTAGAAAAGACATTTCAGAGACAGGATATTTGATGGAAAGGACATTTCAAAGATAGGACATTTATAAATAGGACATTTCATAGGCAGGAAGATTTATAGAAAGGACCTTGATAGAGAGGACTGGACAGGACATTTCATAGGCAGGACAATTCATAGAAAGGCCATTTGATAGACAGGACTGGAAAGGACATTTTATAGGAAGGACAATTCATAGAAAGGACATTTGATAGACAGGACTGAACAGGACATTTCATAGGCAGGACAATTCATAGAAAGGACATTTGATGACTGGACAGGACATTTCATAGGCAGGACAATTCATAAAAAGGACATTTCATCGACAGGACTGGACAGGACATTTCATAGACAGGACAATTCATAGAAAGGACATTTCATCGACAGGACTGGACAGGACATTTCATAGACAGGACAATTCATAGAAAGGACATTTCATCGAGAGGACTGGACAGGACATTATATATTTACTGTTTAGACTGGAATGCTAGATGAAAGAACTCTGGAGGGAATTAGAAAACCTAGATGTGGAGTCAGGAACAGATATTAAACAATCCAAATAAAGGAATTCTCCACACCCATCGTACCGTACACTTTTCATCCATGTACAAGCTTTGTTGCATACCTAAGTAAGGGACTGTAAGCGTAATTTTAATAGTCCCTTCATCAAAGAAGGCAATACCCGATTTACAACGGCACCCTTATAACCTTTGTGTGTTCGTGTAGTACAGAGATATGTGTGTGCATTGAGTTGAAACTGTGGCATACAGTAGGCACACTGGCATTTTCCGCTGACTACACAGCGCTCACACTGGCATTTTCCGCTGACTACACAGCGCTCACACTGGCATTTTCCGCTGACTACACAGCGCTCACACTGGCATTTTTCGCTGACTACACAGTGCTCAACTGGCATTTTCCGCTGACTACACAGTGCTCACACTGGCATTTTTCGCTGACTAAACAGCGCTCACACTGGCATTTAAAGCTGACTACACAGCGCTCACACTGGCATTTAAAGCTGACTACACAGCGCTCAACTGGCATTTTACGCTGACTACACAGCGCTCAGACTGGCATTTCCGCTGACTACACAGCATTCACGCTGGCATTTTCCGCTGACTACACAGCGCTCACACTGGCATTTTCCGCTGACTACACAGCGCTTACACTGGCATTTTCCGCTGACTACACAGCGCTTACACTGGCATTTAAAGCTGACTTCAAGCGGGTTTAGGTAAGTTTACACACACATATCTATCTACATGATGATCATAAAAAAATATTATACCGGGGTTCTGTTGTGAATCAGGCATTGCCTTCTTTGTATGGAGGGTCACTTAAATTACGCAGTATCTTTAACTTCCTTGTATGGACTGGAGTTTAGAGGGATACATGGCTGACAGTGACATGACATTAAACTTGAATATAAACTAATATTGATTATTGGAAATAACCTTATCTTTAGTTTTACCAATACTAGCAAATATGTTTAAGACTGCAGGGTGTCCCAATAAACAAAGGAATTAAGAGATGGGTTAAAAATCACTTTGATTTTCGAAAGTTAATAAATGACAAAAAAATGTGAACGTCAATTACTTCTATTTTCATCTTGTCTAATTATTTGGAGCAAAGACACCTAAAAATCGTTGTTTTAAGTGCATTAATTGTATATTAATCAAAACAAAAAAATATTATGGAATATCAACTTTTTCCAAATGTATCGTATTGAATTCAAAATTTACAGGTTGTAATATTTGTATGATTGATATTAGATTTAATTGAACTATACAGTATACATATTAATACCTATATCCAGTCCCTTTAATACCTACATACAGTCCCTTTAATACCTACATACAGTCTCTCTAATACCTACGTTTACAACTGTTGTAACAGAGATTTAAAGAAAAATGGTGCAGGAGGGTTGCAAGATAAAATCATTGAAATCAGGAAAAACAGATTTCTTAAAATTTTAAAGCTTTCATTGAAAACGTTTGTAAATGATTCAAAAACGTTTCCTAAACATTTTGTACATGTCCAGCATAAAGCATAAAGTTTTACTTTAACGAAACGCTTTATTCGACGAAAAAAAACTAATGTTAAAGTGGTAACATTACGTGTGTTAGTCCAAATAGTCTGTTTTATGTAGCAGAAGCGTAACTTTAATCTAACCTTACTAAAATAACGTTTTAAAACGTTTTAGCGTAATTTTCATGGTTCATTGGGAGGGACTGGCCTCTCATTCAATGGGGAATGTCTGATTCACCACGGAACCCTTGAAATCTCATGTGAAAGTTTTTATTTATAGTTTAAAAAGTGTTTAATTCTGACGATATCCTTAGTTGTTTCTGAAGCAGATATGGTCAAGTCATTTGGCACAGAAACAGCTTTTAGGAATAATTAATTTTAAAAATTGGTTGAAGAGAGCCAGCTTTCTTGGACTGTTATAAAAAGAAAAGAATTAAACAATTGTCTGAAACTTGATTTTTCTAACCTTTATATCTTTGCATTAGGAAATTAAAGTTTTAAGGCAAGTGTTTCAGACTATTTAAAAATATATTGCAGTCAACATTCAAAAACTGTATTATAACCTTTCATTTGAACGATTTTAAAATCTGTACAAAATATTCTAGTGATAAAAATCCTCCCAGACGATTTCGTAGATTTTCACTTTCCGAAGATTTTTTCTCAGATATGCTTTCCCTTTTAGGGCAGGTAATACTAATAATAATAATAATAATAATAATAATAATAATAATAATAATAATAATAATAATAATAATAATAATAATAATAATAATAATGATGATGATGATAATAATAATAATAATAATAATAATAATAACAATGATAATAAAAATAATAATAATATTATTAAGAGAGTTCAAGGAGGAGGTGGTGGTTGGGGAGGGGGTAGTAGCAGATGGAGATCCTTACAATTAACTTACAGGGAAAAATCATAGAAAATTTATTTAACTCCCCCTTCCCCTCTTCGCCCCCCCCCATGAAGAATTAATCTCCCCCCTCTTTTCCTTTCCTGTCCCAACAACTGCACTGGCAGCCGTAGAAAAATTGAATTCCGAGTCGGGTCAACCTTTCCGGTCCCAGTTTGTACTGTATCGCCCTTACATTGGGTAAATAAAGCAGACACTCAATATGTTGACTTGGTCAGACTTTGGGTTGAATTTACTTTTATTAAAGGGTCAGGGGTGCGTGACTGTTCTCTATTTGCAGTTTAGATTATTCCGAAAAAAAATCCATTTTGACAATGAAATAATCCAGAAAGCTTTCCCGTTGTGAATTGGCCATTGCTATTACACTCATCTGCCGCTTTGGTAATTGAAGTAATTGTAAATTGGCGGTACAATCAAAAGTAGGACTGCTAAGGTTGGCCGGTGGGACGTCCCATGGTGTGTCGCTTAAAACCACGCTCAAGTTCCTTTTTAAGGATTCAAACGTTGATGAAAATTATACTATAGAAGGTTTCTATAACTCTGTTATATTATTTATACAATAATTGGGTTCTCACACAATTCGTGGATTTTAACACCTCTACAGTTCCAGTTAAAGTAAACAATATCTACAAGGTGTTTTTAAAAACATTTAAAGAATCAATAATATGATCTATATTCGATCGTAAGTTACTTTTATAGAGAACTCTCAATTTAGAATAACTTAATGAAAGAAGAGAACCATGTAAAGCTTATTTATTCTTATTGTTTACGGGTACCGCTGGGAATGGGACATGCCATTTTTTCTTCATTTTTAATGGAAGGTTACTTTGAATTACGTTTAATTACTTTTATCAAGGTTATAATGGAAGGAAAGTTAATTGCAGTTGCGTATACTCTGCGTGCGTACATATTGAAACCAGTGCTCCCTGGGCGGAATTTGTAAACAAGAATAGATGCATCAGTGTTTGTTTAGTATCCGAGGAGGATAAAAGCATTGAATTTTGAAAATTTTTATTATTCACATAATAGTTTCCTATGACCAGAATATTTGATATTTCATGTGAAAGATGGATCCCATGGTAGGCTTCGACATCCGTCTTGTGTTTACATTACCGCCCAGAGACAGTACACTGCATTACAAAAGATGCGTACACCTCTAAAATAACTTTCCTTGCATTATAACCTTGATTTTTATCGTATTTAACCGACTCGTCAGTTTTTGTACCCAATAATACTAATAAAGTAATATTAACCAATTACCATCGAAACCTTACAGTCTTGGAATTTCCAAAATGGGATCTGCCATTATTCAAATTTCAATGTATTAAAGAAACTGTGAGCGTAATCCCTGATTTACAACCTTAATCTGATTAAAACTGTGGAAGATAACGTCGATCTTCAGACTCGAAAAATGTTTAATCCCTATAAATTCTCCAGTCTTTCTTTTCAGCAAGAAGTGCGAAAACCACTTTTGCAGAGAATTCACTGCAAATTAAAATAAACAGTTTTCAAAAACAAAAACAATTCCTACTTGATCAGATGTTGCCATCTTTGCATGGAAGGTTACTTGAAATACGCTTACAGTCCCTTTAAATATAGATATCTTTATATTGAATATAAGTAAGACGAAGAGAAATTAGGATAAGCTTGGGAACCCAGGAGTGCCCATGTGACTCCCGTCGTTTACCAGAACTTAGCCAATTTTACCGGGAAACTAAAGTTTTGTTCATAAAGTCGACCCATTCAACTTTGACTCTCAAAACCAAACTAAGAAAATTCCCGTGGTTCTATCGAGTTCCCTAGTCAAAATTTTAGGCATATCAGTCAAGGGGTTCATGAGCTATGATCGGAAATACAAACAAACAAACAAACAAACAGAGAATTCAACTTTATATATATATATATATATATATAGATTTCAAAGATTTAAAAGTAATTTTTTAGTTCAATATTTATTGTGACATCAGACCATGCAGTTTTCTAAAGGATTTTCTGTTTTAATATTGTTGGTCGAGATCTCTCCTTCAAATGGATATATTAAAATATTCAAGAAATATTTAAATATATTCTGACATTACGAGGAGAGGAGGCCAGTCATGTTCGAGCCACATTTTCTTCAGTTATTTCTTCTAAACCAGATTTTCTTTTCCGCGTCACATTTTCTATAGTATCTCTTCCCAGCAATATGTTCTTCAGTTTTTCTTCCAAGCCCCATTTTCTTCAGTTCCTCTTCCGAGCCACATTTCTTTATTTTTTTCTAATGAGCCCGATTTTCTTACCCGAACATACAATTATTTCAGTTTCTTGTCTGAACCACATTTTCTTCTATTTCTCTTCGCGCCATTTTCCAAGCCGCATTTTCTCAAGTTTCTCTTTCGAGCCACCTTCTAATGCTCATCGTTACCCTAGATCTTTATAAGTTTTTAACTCGTAAATTTAAAAATCATTTTTATTTTTTTTTAATTCTCCGACTTGATCGAGCATTTGATAAGATTAAATAGTTAACTACACTTGAGTTAGCTCCGAAAAGAAGTTTCGGTTCGGATGAAGAAAGTATGTACTTTGCCGTCCTATCCTCGTTCACAGATGAAAAATGGATTGATAAATATTCTTTATATTTTAAACATAGTTTTGCAAAAGGCAAAACTCTTTCCAGACTTCATGGGATATAAAGTGTAGACATTATTTCAAGCTGGATCCTCCGTTTATGTGTAGCATATCGATTCATTAAACCTCTATCTTAGGAGTTGACATGTTTGTGGCATAAATACAGTGAAACCCTGAATAACGAATACGTCGGAAGAATTTATCAATGGTCGTCTTGACAATTTTTCAAAGAGTTTTATACTATATTACGTAAATTTCAGTATTTACGAAAATAAATAAATAGCCATGAATATGCAGGAACAGTTTTAAAGAGTTCCATGCATATAATCATTTAATTAAAAAACTAAATATCTGCAACATTCCATTATCAGAAAGTGAAGAAGACGACATTTGATGAATTCTTTCGATGTATTCGTTATTAAGGGTTTCACTGTAGTTTCCGCCTGCTATAAAACACAGGTTCGACTTTAAAGAGTCTAGGAAGCGGGTGAAGGCAGGCTGCCATAAGCCACAACATTTTCCCCTTCCATGCCACATTTTATCTTTATACTGTCTTCCGACAGTCATGAGCCACAACGGTATGGTCTTCCAAGCCACAGCATTTGAGTCTTCCGCCGCTTATTACGTTTTTAATGTGTGCCATGGAAGGAAAATAATGTTTTGAAATTGAATTTTGATATTCAAAAATATGAAAAATTAGATTTCCAATAAGAAATACTAAAACAGTATTTTTACCTATTTATTTTGAAATTTAAATTTTTTTGACAATATTCTTTGAATAGTTATATGATAGACGATAGAAGATGTAAATATTTTGAAATTTTACAAACACATATCTATCTACATGATGATCATAAAAAAATATTATACCGGGGTTCTGTTGTGAATCAGGCATTGCCTTCTTTGTATGGAGGGTCACTTAAATTACGCAGTATCTTTAACTTCCTTGTATGGACTGGAGTTTAGAGGGATACATGGCTGACAGTGACATGACATTAAACTTGAATATAAACTAATATTGATTATTGGAAATAACCTTATCTTTAGTTTTACCAATACTAGCAAATATGTTTAAGACTGCAGGGTGTCCCAATAAACAAAGGAATTAAGAGATGGGTTAAAAATCACTTTGATTTTCGAAAGTTAATAAATGACAAAAAAATGTGAACGTCAATTACTTCTATTTTCATCTTGTCTAATTATTTGGAGCAAAGACACCTAAAAATCGTTGTTTTAAGTGCATTAATTGTATATTAATCAAAACAAAAAAATATTATGGAATATCAACTTTTTCCAAATGTATCGTATTGAATTCAAAATTTACAGGTTGTAATATTTGTATGATTGATATTAGATTTAATTGAACTATACAGTATACATATTAATACCTATATCCAGTCCCTTTAATACCTACATACAGTCCCTTTAATACCTACATACAGTCTCTCTAATACCTACGTTTACAACTGTTGTAACAGAGATTTAAAGAAAAATGGTGCAGGAGGGTTGCAAGATAAAATCATTGAAATCAGGAAAAACAGATTTCTTAAAATTTTAAAGCTTTCATTGAAAACGTTTGTAAATGATTCAAAAACGTTTCCTAAACATTTTGTACATGTCCAGCATAAAGCATAAAGTTTTACTTTAACGAAACGCTTTATTCGACGAAAAAAAACTAATGTTAAAGTGGTAACATTACGTGTGTTAGTCCAAATAGTCTGTTTTATGTAGCAGAAGCGTAACTTTAATCTAACCTTACTAAAATAACGTTTTAAAACGTTTTAGCGTAATTTTCATGGTTCATTGGGAGGGACTGGCCTCTCATTCAATGNTCCCCCCCCCCCTGTCACTAAGCTATGGGGAAAATTATGAAAACCTGGCCCCCCCAGATTAATTTTCCCTCACGAGGATTATACTTTTCTATGTGATATTTATATTGTATAAATTCTAATCTTCGTGCAATAAATATTTGATTTGATTTGATTTGAAATATGAAAGTCAGTTTTAAGCTAGGAAAACATGGTTACTTCATTCATATTTGATCAGATAAAGGGTTAAAGGGTGTCGTTCTGACATGCCACTCATAATTTAAACCTTGAACAAAACTCAATTCCAATAAATACTCATTTCTACTAATTTACTTCACGATATCAAAATATAACGCAATTAACACAAAAAGATTACTTTTTTAATATTAAATAGAAATAGAATCAAACGGTTTATAGCAACACAGCGATTGAAGGAATCAGCATGATTAGGAACTGCTCTGCTTCGCTGCATGTGCTCCGTCAGAGATCGTCCTCGAATGCCCCAAGCCTATATTCCAGGTTCAGATCGATGAACCCACGCCATCCCTAACATGGGGACGCCATTGGTAACACGGCTTGGCTTGATTCTATTTACTGGCGATAAGGAAAACCCAAACCAACCGGGGTATTTATTCTCCCCTCATCTACAATTTATTAAAAAACCATTCTTCTGCCTAGGGTCACAATATGAATATATATATAGAAAGGTCATGTACTTTAAACTAGGTTTAAAGTCCAATTAAAGGCACTGTAAGTATGATTATAAGTGAACCTCCATGCAAAGATGACAATGGGGCCCGATTTACTAAGATATCCATTGATTCTTACAAAACAAATGCGCAAGTCACTTTCAAAAATTAAAAGAAACCAAAAATGGATTTATACTTTATCAGACAAAGCCATAGAGAATAGAATATATATTAGAGGGGAATTTAATAGGAAAAAGTGTAAAACGGCCATTTTGTTGTATACTGTTTCCATACTGCAGGTGTACTTCACATATTTATAGAAAATCTAAAATTATTGTTAAAAGAAACCCAAATTATGAAATAAGCTGGTTTCATAATTGACCAATGATCATTTCACATAGACTCTATGCCTTTCACTTTACAAACGATGATTTTCCGTTATAAATAATATAATAATATAATATAGTGTATTTTTAGTAAATGTAACAAAGTAAAAGCATGCTGTGCCAAATGAATCTAGAATTGTTCTATTACGTAAATTATATCTGGACATTTACATGTTAATCCTAACTATTGAGATTTTAGAATTTTATGTGCTCATCTTACACGGGCAGCGTAGTACATTTGAATTTCCGAGCCGGGTCAACCTTTCCGTTCCCAGTTTGTACTGTATCGCCCGGACATTAGGTAAATAAAGCAGGCAGACACTCAATAGGACTAGCCGGTGCAACAAGGTTGACGCGGTCAGACTTTAGGTTGAATTTACTTTTACTGAAGGGTCAGAGGTGCGTGCATACTGCATACCCTTCATTGTAAAATAACCTAATTCTCATTTACAATATTTCAGAAAGCTGTGACTTTTCATCACCATTTGACCCCTTATGCATAATTTTTTAACGTTTTTTCTTAAACACTTTTTTGTCGGTATATACGTTTTGAATGAAAAGTATAAAATAAACAAATTCGTAAGTTTAAAGATTGTTGAATTATAGACCAACACATTTTTTATTTCAAATTCAAGAAACTGAATCCTTCTCACTCTGGTTAGAAGTCCTAGGTCATCTGGTCTATATTGGATTATAAAAGCCACTTTCAAAAAGATTTGAGTCTTGCCCGAAACTGACTGCAGTGCTTTTGGATAGAATTTCATTTTGAACTTCTTTCTAGCGTTCTAGCTCCACATTTGAAAACCTCCATTTTTCCAAATTGTAATTGCTTTTCACTTCAGAATAAATTTTTTTAGTGGTTTAGGGTTTTGATCAGACCCTGCACCAGGTCCATTTTAAATAAAGTGTCAACATTCTTTGCAGGTATCAATTTATCCCGATGTAACAATAAACTGATTCAATTTTCGCGGGTTTCTGATGATTTCTTGGTTGATTTTGTACTTTGTTGAAGATTATTACGTAGAACTTTAGGTGGATACAGAGATAGCGGAGGCATTCCAAGTTTGGGCTCAATACACAGGTACATATACTGGTAAGGGCTTTAAGAGGACCCAATCAGGGAGTATGAAATAGAAAGGAGATTTAACTGCCGCGGCTCGCCCTACCATATGATTTTACAAGCTTTGCAGACGGTACTTCATTTAAATAAGAAATATTTGTCCGAGTATGCAATAACCTATTCTGAATATTTCTTATACAAATGGAGTACCGTCTGCATAGTATTTCCATAGAAACTACAGAGAAACGTACAAAAAATTTTGATTTTAAATCGTGAAAATTTTGAAGTTCATTCACATAGGTCTTTACTCTTTAGTCTGTTTTTTCTAGTCTTTACTTTCCAAACGAGATCTTTTTACGAAATTATTTCCAAACCAAATAAAACCTTTTGGCCCGAACCTGTCGTCGTTGCCTTAGTCTGTTCCACTTTAGTATTTATTTACTTCGCTGCAAAGCATGTATCATTATATGGTAGGGCGGGCCGCGTCAGTTATATCTCCCTTCTATTTCATACTCCTTGGACCCGATACACATTTGTTTCATATATTCAGCGTGCTGATTTTTTATGATTAACTAGAGGAAGGAACTGGCGTTGTCCGTGACATTTTTTTTGGAAAATTTTGAAAAAAAATTTTTGTTCAAAAAGAAGTTTCGATTTTTCTTTAGCCTATCCCCGGGCTACCCATGTGTAACAAAAAATTTCAGCCCATTCTGTGTAAATCTTAAACTATTTGAGCTAATAGAATTCATAGTTGGAATTATATCGGGTATCAAAAATTTGAATTTAAGGATGGTTGCTTATTTCCTTTTTAGATGAATAACAAAAAGTAAGTTTTTCAAATTTTGAATTTTTACAGACCCCTGTGGCCAATACTATTGTTCGCAATTACTCCCTTTAATATCTATAAACCCTTTACTTTAGATCTAAAGTTTAGCAAGCGTTCATACGGACCTGTTCATATTGATATCAGCTTTAAATCCTTTACTTTAGATCTAAAGTTTAGCAAGCGTTCATACGGACCTGTTCATATAGATATCAGCTTTAAATCTAGGTAGGGCAATTTTTCATTTTTCGCAAACTATTATAGATATGTAACTTTCCTTTTCCTTTCTTTTTCCTTTCTTTTTCCTCTCTTTTTCCTTTCTTTTTCCTTTCTTTTTCCTTTCTTTTACCTTCCTTTTTAGTTTCCTTTTCCTTTCCTTTTCCTTTCCTATTTCTTTCTTTTTCTTTTCTTTTTCCTTTCCTTTTTCTTTCCTTTTCCTTTCCTTTTTCTTTCCTTTTCCTTTCCTTTTCCTTTCCTTTTCCTTTCCTTTTCCTTTCTTTCCTGTCTTTTCCTTTCCTTTTCCTCTCCTTTTCCTTTATTTTTCCTTTCTTTTCCTGTCTTTTCCTTTCCTTTTCATTTCCTTTTCCTTTCCTTTTCCTTTCCTTTTCCTTTCCTTTTCCTTTCCTTTTCCTTTCCTTTTCCTTTCTTTTTCCTTTCCTTTTTAGATTCTTGGGGAAACATTCCCCCAACATTTAGAAGTTTTTTAATATTATCTCCGGAATCATGCTACGGTTCCATGTAATGTTTTTTGACTGACATCTGACGGCCACTTGTTGCAGTCAGGGGTTAAGTTTTACAACTTTTAAAGAAATACTCCAATTTTTAACAAAAACATAACGTTTATAAATATTGTCTATTTTTAAAGATTTTGCATTTCCTATTCTAAGGATCCTTAAAAAATTTCTTTATTTTTCTACAGAAAACTTTTTTTCATTTATCTACAGAAAACTTTTATTTATTTATCTATAACAGAAAACATTTCTTTATTTATCTACAGAAAACTTTTCTTTATTATCTATAGAAAACTTTTCTTAATTCATCAACAGAAAACTTTTTTTTTATTTATCTACAGAAAACGTTTCTTTATTTATTTACAGAAAACTTTTATTTATTTATCCACAGAAAACCTTTCTTTATTTATCCAGATATAATGATTTAAACTTTAACTTGAATATAGAATTTAATCTTTCATCTTTTTCTACTAAAGTTTGAAAATATTTTGTAAATACAACCAAGTTTGAATTGGTCCAATTAGGCTGGAAAGCTCTCAAGAATTTAAACTTTTCAGAGTAGTTTAGTTTAAATTGCAAAGAACGTAGAACTTTACAGGTAAAAATTATCAATTGTTAAAAACCAATTATTACCAGCATGGAATAATGTGGGGGGAATGGGGTATTTTTCTATTTTATTTTTCTAGATTATAAACATTTTTAACATTATAAACCGCTAAATTTAATAAACTGGGGATATTTGTAATACACATTATACTAATTTTGTTAGGCATTAAATTAAAACGTGTCAATGTTAGACCAATATCTAAATTGATAAAAAACTTTAAGTTTCATTAAATTTCTCCTAAGGGATAGGTTAGGAGGGGGAGGGGGTCAACCAAACGTTATAATTTTCAGGGAGGGGAGAGGGGAGTCCAAACTTGCTTTCTAGTTGACTTAACATTTAGTTTGGTCCAATAAATCGAATTAATTGAATGAAATGAACTCCAGTTAGAGAAAACTTTTTATTAAGATAGATAGATAGATAAATAGATAGGCAGATAGATCGATAGATAGGTAAATAGGTAAAAAGACAGATAGATATATAAAAGTGCATTTGAAATGGAATAATTGACAATCAAGTATTTCAATTCTTTATTCATTCATTGCAAAGTTAGAACTCAGAGAAATAAAATTGATAAAGATTTTTTTCTTTCCTTGTTATTTTTGAGAACCTTAAAGCTTAAAATTATTTAAATCCTCCTTTCATCTTAAATCTTAAACTTTAAATGATCTACAAACTATAACTAACAAACCAAGTGACCTACAAAACCAACTGATTTTCAAACCAACTGACCTACAAACAAACTGACTAACAAACCAAGTGACCAACAATCCAACTGACCAACAATCCAACTGACCAACAATCCAACTGACCAACAATCCAACTGACCAACAATCCAACTGATCAACAATCCAACTCACCAACATTTCAACTAACCAACAATCCGACTGACGAACTTATTAACAATCCAACTGACATACAAACCAACACACCAACAAATCAACTGACCTATAAACCAACTAACAAACAATCAACTGACCAACTTACTAACAATTCAACCAACCAACTAACTAACAAATTAACTGACCAACAATCCAACTGAATAGAAAATCTCTTTCCTCGGCCACACCTGTCGTGATATTTTTAACCCTCCTTGGCCCTTCCCCTTAGTAGGCATATTATCGCACCGGCACGACATGCTTTATTCCTACAAGATATGTTATGACTGCCATCTTACAGCAATTTTTTGTTTAATATTTAGTATTCAAATGATCCTTAAATATCCCTACAAATAGATGGTCATGTAGTCCAGAGAGTCCAAAACTGAAGAATGAAAAGTTATGACTTAAATGTTAAATTTCAGCTTAAATATATTCCACTTCTGACTTAATTTAAAACTGAATTTTAAGCTATAGCTTAAATATTTAACTTATCGATTTCCAGTGAACATCTAGCTACAACTAGGTCTTGCCAGACGCTTCTAAAAGTATTTAGAGATACAGGGTGAGACAGAGAAAATGTCAGACAAGAAATACTTTAGCCAGGGGTGTATAGCCCCCGTACACAAATACTTTACCCAGGGTTGTATAGCCCCCGTACACAAATACTTTACCCAGGGGTGTATAGCCCCCGTACACAAATACTTTACCCAGGGTTGTATAGCCCCCGTACACAAATACTTTACCCAGGGGTGTATAGCCCCCGTACACAAATACTTTACCCAGGGTTGTATAGCCCCCGTACACAAATACTTTACCCAGGGGTGTATAGCCCCCGTACACAAATACTTTACCCAGGGTTGTATAGCCCCCGTACACAAATACTTTACCCAGGGGTGTATAGCCCCCGTACACAAATACTTTACCCAGGGTTGTATAGCCCCCGTACACAAATACTTTACAAAGGGGTGTATAGCCCCCGTACACAAATGGAAAAGAAAAAAAACGGAACTGCAATTAACATTAAAGGCCTGCATTAATCTTTTAACGGTGTATTAACCTGGAGAATGGAGGTTTTTTACCTCTCTGGATCCAAATTAATTGCTACTAACAGCTTTAAATATACTGCTTAAAAACAAGCCTAATTAGCTCTTATTAAGAATCTTAACTCGTCGGAAAGACCTAAATTCTTGTGATTGAATCTGGTTCTATGTGTAAACATCAAGGGAGCTCAGAACAGTCAGGTTCTTATACAACTCTCTCCAGTTGAACAGAACCCTGTGTGAAATAAAACATGGCAGTACATCCTAATTGTAAAAAAGTACTAATAAGTAATAATAGTGGAGAGAAAGAGAAGCAAGCAAGCAAGGAAAATGGAAACATAGAAAGTATTATTCATGTCATTATTCATGCAAAATGGATCCTCAGAATTTTATTTTTCCAACCTGTAAGAATATAAATATTAAATATGAAGAATAGCTGGGAAAAGCTGCATCATCATTCCTTAATATAACTTGTCAGAGAGATTTTACACCTAAAAATTACCTAACCCATCCGTCCATGTGGCCCCTCACCTACCTATACCTTCAAGTCTGATCATCTTGTCAGGTCATGGGCATTCCTGGTTAGGCAATAAAACTGAAAACAGATGTATGATCAGTCAGAGAAAAAATTCACTGCTCTTTTTAAAATTGTGATAAAAAAGTTTGAACTTGAAAATAAATTATTATTATTATTATAAAGATTTATTCACACACAAAGATATAAATACATATATAAAAAGAGAAAAAGAAAAGAGAAAAAATATGCAAAATTATGCACAAATAGAAAACATTGATTTTTAATCACTACATAACATATTTATCATGAATGCATAAAATGTCTGAGAACCAAGATAGCAAACTTATAAAGTTCTGTTTATCAATTCACATACCCCCACTATTATAGCTAGTTAAGCACAAAGTACTAGCTGTACCCATCATTGTACTGCTGTTGCGCCACCAGTAGCACTATTCTTCTCTACACTCTTGGTTCCATTTTTAACAGAATCTGATACACTTGTGGTTCCATTTCTATCAGAATACCGCTTCCTATAATGGATAAATTCACGGAATGTAACTCATCTATTATTTAACATAAATTTTCTTATACTGGCTTTTAGGGCGCTTCACGCCCATCGTCTTTTTCAATTTTGAACATTTTTACTTTGAATAGATTTTCATGGATTTCAAAATTTTCCAAAATTTTATGAAAATCGAATTTTCATGGAGGCAAATTTTTGAAAACTTGGTCATCCACAAACCTTCCCTAGGGTCACGCAAGGTCTCTGAAAAAAAATGGGATGGATCGGTTTAGCTGTTTGACGTTTATTAAACACAAACAGACAAACAGACATTAAAAATATATATATCATTACACGAATAAAGGGAATGGAAATGGCGCTGGTCTGGTATGAGAAAGCCAGTCGCACTGCTTTGAAGATGGGTTCCTTATCACACACGCACACTCTTTTGGTACAGACACACAACATGACTACAGTCAAGGAAATTGCGAAAAATGTCGTCAATTATAATTTAGCTTGAATAACGACTATATTTGTTGTAAACTTTAATCAAATTATATTCTTTGCATGAAAATTTGGTTTATAGTGTTGACTTAAATATACAAATAATAAATTACATGTATATTAAACTTATTTTTAAGTAAACAATTAACAATAAACAACTCTACTCTCCTAGAATGTACAAGTACCCAAGGTTATAATGCAAGGAAAGTTAATTGCAGTTGTGTATACTCTGCGTACATATTGAAACCAATTCTCTGTGGGCGGAATTTGTAAACAAGAATATATACATCAGTGTAATAACCTTGCAAGTACCTAGATTCTGCTGTACTGTATACACCGACAGTACATCTATTCATCTCATTATTACACACGCACACTCTATTGGTACAGACACACACACTAGGGATGTAAACGTTGTCATTTTTCAGAAAAACGATCGTTTCGTTATGAAAACGACGACGAAAACTCGAAAACGAAACGATCGTTTTTAAAAACGAGTGTTTTGAAAAACGATCGTTTTTATAAAATTCGTCGTTTCGTTAACGATCGTTAACGAAGAGAGGAAACCGACCTGATGGGCATCTGTACTTATCATTGAGTAGTTTTTAAGAAAATATCAAGGAGTTTTAACTCCCCCACAACTGTTAAACTTCATGTAAGACGACATTCAATAAAGTTGCATGTAATTTTTTTTTCAAAAACGACCGTTTAGATACAGTTCGTCGTTTCGTTAACGATCGTTAACATAATTATCAATAACATTTTTTTTAAAAATAAATAAAAATTCGCGGATTTCAAAAAATAATAATAATAATAATAATAATAATAATAATAATAATAATAATAATAATAATAATAATAATAACTGTATTCAGAGATCATGGAGATAATGAAGGGTTTGATGGTGAGGGTGGAGTGCTAGCACACTCCTTCTATCCACTCTATGGAGGAGATGTACACTTTGATGACGATGAAATGTAAGTGATTTAAGGATGTTTGCTAATGTCGTCTTTCATCTCAGTTAGAACCTTCTTCTTCAAGAATCGGGACCATTGATAAATTAACAAAGGTGCCTAGCCATACGAGAACTGTATTATAGTTTATATAGAATAGCACGGGCAGCCGTAGTACATTTGAATTTCCGAGCCGGGTCAACCTTCCCGTTCCCAGTTTGTAGTGTACCTAGCTTTATGGACAAGACTAGACATGGTCAGAATTTATGCTTCATGTTGAATTTACTTTTTTACAAAAAGAGCAGAGGTGCGTGATTGCCGTGTGTCTTCATTTTATAAAAGTTGTTTTCTTTAAATATTCAGAAAGGAATAATATTAAATAACCACTTACCACTAACCAGCCAATGAGGAAAACTAAGTAAAACTGTCTTTAAGTGTCCATGGCAAGGTTCATTAATAAGGTAGGTTATTCTAGATGTGCTCCAATGTACAGAAAATGTCGGCTTCTTAGCAAAGATAGATAGAATCCTCAGATGAGTCACGCTCGCCTCTATATTCAGTGACGTCATATGCGGATTCTATCTATCTATACGACATTTTCCGTACATACGAGCACATTCAGAGTAACCTTTCTTATAAAAATTATAAAACTTTGGTCTATGCTCACTTTTGAGGAGTCAAACATTATAAATCGCTTCTTAAATAGCAACAGTGTGAAGTTTTGGACCGAATTTTTTTGGAAAATTTGGGAAAAATTATACTTTAAAAAAAAGTAATTTACTGACTTATTTATAAACAATTTTTAATATTCTAAATTTTGAATCTTTAAATTCTATGTTATTGACAAAAAAAATGAGTCAAAGAATGAGATATTTTCCTTACTTTGAAAGTTTTATAAAAAAAAGGATAATTTTCCAAAACAAATGTTTAAAAACACGTATCAAGGGATAGTCTGAAAACTTTTGAATAGACTTAAATCTATTTGATATACTTACTATGCAAATAGTGTTGTTAGTAAGTCATTAAACTGACATAGGTCTGTTTACACTGCACAATTTCTTTTTCTGGGCATCACAGTATAAGGATGTTTCTATCGGAATGTCTTTTCTCAGTGTATTAGCAGCAGTAGATAGAGATGGGAGCGTTCGGCTTTTTTATAATTTTATTCGTTTTTTTCAATTGTTAAAAAAATGAGTTCGTTTTCTCACTAAACAGCCATTCAGTATAATCGTTTGTTCTTTCAAGATCTTTGTTCGTTTGGTAACCGTTATATTTCAAGGTCGTTTGAATGATTTTATCTTCGTTTTTAAAAACCATCGTTTTTTTATTTCTCAAACCAATCCAAGTGGGTTGTCCATTGTTCATTTTTACTGAACGACACCATCGTTCACAAAAAAAGATCGTTTGTTGTTAAAAATTTTTGTTTGTTAAAAACAAAAGATTCTCATCTTTACTTGTCTAATACACAGTAAACACTAGTTATCACAAAGTTTGTAGAAAATTGCAAAAATAACAAAAATACGGGTTTTTTATGTTTTCTTTTTCTCTTAGAATATATACCAAGCCGCCAATGTTAAAAGATGCGGTTTGATTAAAATATCATATTTCTCGAAATAATTTTGAACATAAAAAATTATGAGAAATATCGTTCAGTCTGTTCAAAGTTTGCGTTGCCCGTGGAACAAAATGAATCCAATTTAATTTTTTTTTATTTCAAAGTTAAAATAAATTATTTTGAATTTAGCCTATTCTACCTTATATTTTGCCAGATATAGCTAACATTTATGTATTGTATATACATGAATGGTATCAAAACAGAATTTTTTAAAAATATTTTTTTATTTGTACAGTCTTGGTTTTGTTTTTCGTATTTTTCGTATTTTTGTATTTGTATTGTATTATGATATATTCATTTTATGATTTTTTATTCAACATTTTTCTGATTATAGTTTAATCTTTTAAAATATTAAACAGATGAAAAATAATCAAAAATAGCATTTTTTAGATTTTTAGGTTTTTTTTAACTTTAGATTTTTTTTTAGGTGGAAGGTGGGGAATAAATTCAAAGGAACTGTGCTGTTTTGTTAATAATAAAATTGTCATATTAAAAGAAATAGTTCTCGTCAAATATTTAATTTCAGCAAGCTTTCAGGACACTCTGCAGTAAAATGTTATTCTACTACACGCGAGGGAGGGAAAACACACCGCTCCCGTTTTTCATCTGGACCGCAAATAAAGTCTTAAATTAAAGTTTTCGGCAATACGCTTAAGGTGAATTCAGTTAACTTTGTGACATCATCGGCGGTCTGGAATGCCATGTTTAGTGTCCTAAAAATGGATTTGGTGTACCTTTCCTCCCTCAATGTGTATTTTTTGTGTGAAAATAATTGGATTCTTTTTGTTAAAAGAAAGGTTTCATTGAAAATCAGTATAATTTGTTTTTAGAATTGTGTCTACTTCAAGGTTGTATGATAAGGTTCCTTACTCTGGATGGGGTCCAATGTACAGAAAAAGTCGTCTCCTAAGATATATAGATAAAAACCTAATATGACGTCACTCTCGCCTCTATGATCAGTGACGTCATATAAGGTTTTAATCAATCTAACTTAGGAGACGACATTTTCAACAAATTGGAGCGCTTCAAGAGTAACCAACCTTATTATACAACCTTGGTCTAATTATAATAATCACCTAATTTCACCAAGACAGGCCTAACTTTTAACGTTGAATTGAGATTAAGGAAATTAGACTTGAGCCTAATGTGTTAGGTACTTTCCCAAAGACATTTTCCCAAGTGGCAACTTCTTAAATGCCCAATCTCCCCATTCTTTTTATCCGCAGCGCTTTGCCCCTAGTATGTTCTAGCTGCAGCTATTGGCCCCTTATTGTGCAGAGCTCGGCTCATTTTGCAGCGCTAGGCCCCTTACACAGCACATGGTCGCCATTTTGCAGCCTGCGGTACCTTAGAAGGCTGAACGTAACCTTGGGAAATTGTACATTAGGAAAATTGCACATTTGGGAAGTTGCCACTAGCGAAAGCATCTTTAAAAAAAAGTTTTGAGATTCTTATGAACCATTTTCTGGCAAAACTTAATTGGCAAATAATCATAATATTTTAAAAAATGAAGACGACAGTTTGCTCAGATGCCGGAATAAGTTTGAAACATGTGGCAGCACACGAGTTTGGACATGCACTTGGTCTGCCACATTTACCACATAAAGAGGTATTAAATCATTAATACCACATAGAGGTATCAAATCAAATCATTTAGAACAAAAAGAGGTATTAAATCAAATCATGTACCACATAAAGAGGTATTAAATCAAATCATTTATCACATAAAGAGGTATTGAAAACTTTAGAATGGAATATCCTTAATCCCGATCGGTAAATTAATCTGGAGATTAATATAAAGAAGAGAACAAGCATTATTTAATCTGGAGATTTAAAAAAAGAGTAAATCAAGCATTAATTCCGATATCCACCATTCAAAAGTTCCCAGCTCAAATCATTTACAACATAAAGAGGTATTAAATCAAATCGTTTATCCCAGAAAGAGGTATTTAATCAAATAATGTACTACATAAAGAGGTATAAAATCAAATCATTTACAACAAAAAGAGGTATTAAATCAAATCATTTATCACATAAAGAGGTATTAAATCAAATCATATACCACATAGAGGTATCAAATCAAATCATTTACAACATAAAGAGGTATCAAATCAAATCATTTATCACATAAAGAGTTATTAAATCATTTACCACATAGAGGTATCAAATCAAATCATTTACAACATAAAGAGGTATTAAATCAAATCATTTACCACATAAAGAGGTATTAAATCAAATCATTTATCACATAAAGAGGTATTAAATCAAATCATTTACCACATAAAGAGGTATTAAATCAAATCATTTATCACATAAAGAGGTATTAAATCAAATCATTTACCACATAAAGAGGTATTAAATCAAATCATTTATCACATAAAGAGGTATTAAATCAAATCATTTACCACATAAAGAGGTATTAAATCAAATCATTTATCACATAAAGAGGTATTAAATCAAATCATTTACCACATAAAGAGGTATTAAATCAAATCATTTATCACATAAAGAGGTATTAAATCAAATCATTTACCACATAAAGAGGTATTAAATCAAATCATTTACCACATAGTGGTATAAAATCAAATCACTTACAACATAAAGAGGTATAAAATTTAATCATTTACCACATAAAAGTATTAGATCAAATCATTCATCACATAAAGAGGTTTTAAATCAAATCATTTACCATATAAAGAGGTATTAAATCAAAGCATTTACTACATAAAGAGGTATTAAATCAAATCATTTATCACATTTTCCATGGGAGCAGCTATTTCATTTTAATATAACAATGTGTAGTAGTAATATATGCATGTTGTACACAACTGCATTCTGCGTACAGGGTATTCCAACAAGCATGGGAATTAAATGGCAACTTCCTTATCGTCTTTGTACCAAGCGGCAATATTTTTGTAAACATATGTACTGTACTGTCAACATAACTCTGGAAACTGCTAGTCTCTGGATTTCTAAAATGGGGTTCAGCATTTTTCAACCTTTAATATTAAGAAAATTCTCCAGATTTTAATCTATTAAAATCAACAAAACGCTTTAAATGTTTAATATCTTTATCAAATTCATTTTCATATTTTATGCGAAATAGGTTGACCACATTTTTAAAAGCTCATTTAAAAGCAAATTTTTTTTTGTATTTCGCCAACTTTTCCGTATTTTTATTATCAAGGGTTTATTCGAAAACTGTTTGTTATTATACCATTCATTTTTTTTAAACGTAAAATGTTTTTGGGAGAACACCATGTATTTACTTTTACTAATTGTAATCTGTAAATATTTCAACTATCTATCTATCTATCTATCTATCTATCTATGCAAAAAGTTTGACCAGGAAAGCTGACTGGGAGAGCCTAGGTTTACTAAAATGTTCGTACTTCTTACACTATATACATTCTTATTTTAAACAATTTATTTTGATATAAAAATACTCTTGTATGATATTTGAGGAAAGAAGAAAGAAAATGACGTTGATAAATGCATTTCTTTAGAGTTTAGAGGGAAAATATAGAGAATCCTAAGCCTATAAGATTTAAAGAGATAGCCAGAGGCCGAATTTAAAGAATTTGAGCCGCAGCTTAAATTTAAGACGCG